TGGCATGGAGTGTGTTTTAAATTAAATACATAAACTTTAGGATAGGTTATCCTTTTATAACTCAAGTATTCAGCAGAATCATTTCTTTCCTCTACTTCCAGCTTGCATGAAGTACATACAATCCACTAACCTCCGAAGAGCAAGATAACTATGCCGCAAAAATTACTTGGGACCATCTTGTCCGGGTTTACGCTTGGGATCAACATGTTCGGGGTCATTTTTACCGGTACCTTTTTGTCCGGGGTCATTTTGTCCGGGACCTTTCTGTCCGGCACCATTTTGTCTTGATTCCATTCCAAAAAGCTTTGCAACAAAATCCATCGAACCATCGGCGAACCAGAGCACTCAGTAGGGCCCGCACATGATCCAGATGTCGCGTTGATTCGTAAATTCTTTAAAAGAGTTAATTCTTAAGCCCTTTGGATCAACCATAAAAAAGGCGTACTGCACATTAAACTCTGACCAATGTTTTGTTCGAGCCTGACGGTTCTGCACTCAATACCACCTCTTGCGACGGGTGGAGACTTTAGCCAGGCGTTTGGCCCTTAAAACCTTGCCCTTCGAAAATGATCGTGCTGTGTCATGCCCTATGTCATAAAAATTCGAGCAAAGCGGACACCTTCTTCCAAGTTCCACTGGCGCGGGCGAAACTGATCATGAACCACGCTCGAAACAGAGTCATCCATGTGTGGACCCCATTAAAACTACGCAATACAAACATTTTCATCAACAATGTCTTTTTTCTCTCTTTCTTTTTTTTTTTTGTCAAAGGATGTTGACGCTTAGTTGTAGATCGCCGCTAAAGATTGTACGACTGCTACCAAGATATGCGGACGTTGCATATGGCAACTGACTGCTGAAGCACTAAGACCAAGACGTTGTTTACAAACAAGCCTATCTTTTTCCGCACCATATGTGGGCAAGGCGCGCACGTAGAAAGCAGATTCGTGTGAAGGGAAGCTTCTGCGCAGGCGCCATGCCGACAGCAGCGCCAGCACAACAGCGTGACATAAGATCCTAGCGTTGCATATCTAACATTCACGCCGAAAAACTAAAATGCCAACTAGAAGAGAAGGAAAAATGTGCAGGAGCGGCGTCTCAAACACATCTACATTTTGTTTTTTACGCCTTGTATAATTTTTTACTAAGGTCGCCAGCAGCGAGTCCTATAGGTCACCGAAACCCGACCAACGATGCATACACAATGTGAAGCAGGGCCAACCCTACGAGTTAACACCCCAACCAAAGATTCAAAGATCACAATGAAGTATATAAACCACAATGGGAAGCAAAACGAATCCTTCAAGTTTACTCCCGGTATGACTGAGGTCCCAAGGACTCACAAAATACAACTGAGGTAAAAAAAAAAATAAAAGATCATCACAGATCACAAAACACTTGACCATGAGTCAACCACCTTGGAAAAAAAAGTACAATTGCAGAAGCAAACGCAGAACAATACCTTTCGGAACCTTGCGCGCTTTATAAACGATTTCTTTTTCTGACCATATGGCCGTACGCCCATTATATTCATTAAGATGCTTGGCCAATTTAGTTCGAAGCGTTGTTCCGCACATTATGTTCCATGTTCCGTGAGCCGATGTGTTTTGTGTTCCGTCCTAAACCTTTTCTACCAAGCTTTTTTATTTCTTTCGGCGACCACAGTTTCAGGTTTTTGACCACCATGTTCAATAGTTTTAATTTGAATTCACCCTTTTTTTTCATCTAAACGACTTCGTTCTAAAACGGGAAAGTTGCATCACCCGAACTAAACTATCTTGTAGGGAAGGCGTAGCAATGCTGATTCGCACAGACCTAGTACTCATACATTTTCATACGTGTACACTTGTATCCTTACAAGCCTGCAAAGAGTTTCTGTGTAACCCCTGTGACAGAACCGTCCAACAGGGAAGAAACACGCATCGTAAAGCAGATAGTTTTATGGAACCGTTTTTGCACATCTGATACGATACGATGGGCTCTCTGGTACGCGCTGCGAATATGCCAGTCTTCTGTGATAGCGCGCATGCGCAGTGCGTCCCAGAGGCCCCAATCTAAGGCAGCGCAGTTATTTGGTCCAAGCGTTTCAGGTGTACGAAAAACTTTCCATAAAACTTTCTACAGTCTGCAGAATGTAGAATAGTCAGTCGACTCTTTTCGTTTAGGTTTTATATCGTAGCAGTCGAGCCCTCGTTTATGGTGCGCGTATTTTCGTGGAATTGCATGGAGCAGACATATATTAGGAGGAAACAGCTGGCGGGGTTAAATTAGAACTCCCAGATAATGTAGTGAAAGCTAATGAGTGCGATCCTTGTAACCATACGGAAAGGCAAGTTATATAAAAAAAAAGTAAATAGACGAAACAAAATTTTCAGAGTCAAAATTAGGAAAACGATCCACTGTACTAAATGTTTTGAATCCAAACGGGGGCAACGTCATTAGAGAAAATAACTATGTTAAAAGGTACAATCAGGGCAAAGCAGAAAATATTGGGGCCGAATTATATCTTGAAATTCCTATATTGCGCGGATATAGAATATATTAAATGGCCAATTCCAGGAAGGAGTAAAGTACGTATGTTTTATTAATTTCCTCGCTAAAATTAACGATGAAATGGACGTCACGTTACGTGTACCCCAAGTCAGTTTCCGCCGTAAATTTAACGGTAATATACTTGTGTATTGAGCACGTGATGTCAATTTTCCCGCTAAATATAGACGTTCAACTGAATGCTGTTTAGGTCACGTGACGTGAATTTCCCGCTAAATTTAGCGGCGAAACTTGATTGTTTCGCCACGTAACGAATATTCCCACTAAAGTTCCAAGAGGAAAGATTCAAAGAGAAACACGTTATAAGCCGTCAGTTTCGCCGCTAAATTTATATCCCGATTTGAATTGGAGTCTTGGTCACGTCACGTCAATTTTTCCATTCAAAAAGCGGAGAAACACAGCTAATGTATAGGTCACACAAGGTCAATTTTGCCGCTAAAACTAGCGAGGAAACTGAATTGGTCTATAGAAATAGGTCACGTTGCGTCAATTTTCGCGCTAAATATTGCGGGGGAACCAAATCGGTGTACAGGTATAGCGTGACGTCAAGTCATCTAAGTTTCCTCACTAAATTTAACGGGGAGAATCACGAACAGACGGAAAATTTTCTAGAATTAGGGGGTTCCGTTGACAAACGTTCCATCTAAGGCAGCGCGGTTATTTGGTCCAACTTAGTTTTTGTGAGGGAGTTTAGGGCCTTATGAGGCCCCATGAAACCTAGTTTGAAGCAAACTTGGTCTTCTTTGGCCAGACTCTGGTTATCTATCGAGATAGCTTGTAAACAAGTGTCAAAGTTAGTTTTCACCTCTGGTAGTTTGGACGTCGCCTGGCGTAGTTGGGCCTAACTCGCAAAACATGTGCCAGATTTGTGCTTGACTTCTGGTACTTTGTCTCATACGTGGCATGTTTGGCTCAAGTCTGACCCCCTGGCAATTAAATGGCCAGCCATAAACAAGCCATAGAAATGCAAAAGAACGCTACTCTGGAGCTTACCAATTGCGCCTTCGAGCAAAACTGTATTAGGCCTAACTTAGGCCGCTGGGATCGCCAAGCTTGTTTAAAGTTAGCTGCTTCTTTGGCCTGTTACGTGGGATGCCTTCTTAAAACCGGAAGCCCTAGTAAACCGGGGTAGCACAGAAACTACGATCTGAGCCTGCAGCCTAAGAGCTATGGTGGGTCTACTTTTCCGCGAAGCATTTGGAAGATTCATTACCTTCGATCAACGGGGTGTGCTCGGCGAATAATGAGGTAGTAAATACGCGCTGTGACAGTGACCATGATTTCTCATCGTGCTCAGTGCCACAGCGCAGGATGATCTTTCATTTATATCTCAACACGGCCTCATCCTTGGGGAAAAGTAGAACACTCCAAATTTCTTACGCCGTGGCCACACACACATCAAACAAAAGACACGTTGTTCACTGCAAACACGACGACTTATAAGTCATCGTGTATGCAGCGAACAACGTATGTTTATCTATATCTCCATCTGTATGTACAATATGTGTGTATCTGCAGACAATCCTCGAGCATCTTCGAACCCTGTTTGCGTCTCACATGTGTATGCTTCGAATATGTCTGCGGACGATTCTCGTGTGATTAATGTGACAGGTCTGTCACACAAGGAATGAACACGTTTTGGACAGTGTCAGCAGACTGTCTTTTGTGTTATGTATTAGCAGCCAGACCGTGGCTTTATAGCGTACTTCGCCTGCTTCAGAGGGCATAGCATCTTGTTCCTCTGCGGCAGCAGGTTCTGAGGGGGCGATCGCTTTAAGAAACCCAGGGACCCTGGGCTCAGTTCCTACCTCTCTCTCCCCCCCCCCCCCCCGCTCTCAATCTCTCTCCCTCTCTCTCTCTCTTACCCGTTACGATCTGTAGGAACATTTTACCGACGTATGACTACATCGTGGCTCGTGTTAACAACCTTTGGCTAGCAGTGTTACTTACGGTGCATGGAACACGCGTCTCCAACTGGTGTGTTTAGTGTCGTGTATCCCGCCAGTGCATCAAAAGCTGTACGGAAGCGGCAACAAATGGCGTCACAAAAACCAGAGTCTCATGCTGTTGGACTTCACGATCCTGACGGTTTGACGTCTGGCAAAAAGTACGAGTGAAAGCGAGCGTAGCGGTCGTCGCGGCGTGCCAACTCCTGGCTGCCGAAACTTCCGTGGTCTGTTAAGTTGGAGAGGGACCCGCAGCAGAACAGGCGTCTGCCACATTCACTATCACTGCTGTGACACCACCAGGATCGCGGCCAGTAACAGCCTGACATTTATGTGACGTCATAAGGCGGATATCGAGGGACTACTTTCTAGGACGCGGTAACCACGCTAGTCGAAGACGCGTTCCAGGCAGGATAATCGGCGTACCAACTACGAGATGGCGCACACTTTTGAAAATCGGTCTGCTTTAACTCCGACGATTGCCCCGGCAGGACAACTTCCAAAATGCCGATCAAGATCGCTGTCGTCGGCGCGGGCGTGGTGGGCATGGCCACGGCAGTCCGAATCCTCGAGAGCGTAGAGAACGCCCAGGTGACAGTCATCGCGGAGTCCTTCACGCCCCACACGACGGGTGACGTCTCCGTGGGCCTCTTGGAGCCATTCCTCGTCAACGTGGAGTCCCAGGAGAAACTCAGGCACGACACTAAACGCACTTGATCTGCTCTATCATTACTCGCTTTAACTACAAAAAAAAAGAACCCCTGATCGCCATATTTTTTTTTTTATTGGTACTCGCGATTGGCTGAACGTATAAAACGTTCACATGGTATTACCGTAAGATAAAGTTGTATAGCTCAATGCTTCGGCCAGTCAGCGCCATGCAGTTCCGTATATGCTGTGATAGCGCATACGTGATGTGTTTAACATCACTTATACACTATCACTTCGATGCCAGCTTCATGGCGTTTGCTTTAAAACCAGTTTACGCATAAAGGCTGGTTCGCACAGCACCGTTTTCTTACGTGATGGGTAGGTCACCGAAACCTCCATGTCTCGAATGTCGCGTGCCAGGCCCTCTACTTAAATTGGTAGCCTCGCTTCATAAGAAGCTCAGATGTCCCTGTGACTTGTGGCGTAACATAAGAAAACGAGGCACTGTGAACCATCCGTCTGCTTGCGTTACGTTATGTTACGGCAGTTTAGGTCTTCTTACGTCGAAACTCACCGAAACATATGCGCTTCGTGCGAAGCGTGGCAATCAGTTGAAGGTAGTGCCACTAAATAAGCTACGCTTCAGAGTAACGACACTTGGCCATATTGTGTCTTAAAATCATGGTTGCCAGTTATCTGAAGCTTTATCTGCAATCACAGGAAACGCCTTTCCGCCCTCCACAAATGTTTAAACAGTTTGTAACAGAGCAAAGCAATATTGCGTGACCTTCTTAACAACGAATCTAAATCTGAGGAAGTCGCACTTTTGAATCATGACGATCGGCAGTTGCGTCTGCTCTGCATACGAGCCAAAATGGCGGCGCCCACAACAATGCCGGGGAACGGAGTGCCGATACTCTAAGCGCAGCTCATTTAGTGACTCTAGTTGAAGGAATCTTGACGTGGCATTTGAGGGAGAAATATTGTGGTGACTAAAAAGTCATGAACAAACGCATTTAAATGTCTCGGTGGGTCCAGTGTTTGCAACTCGCGGCGAGAAGTCTGGGTATCGCCGCCTGGTGGAATGTTTTCACAACCCATAGTGAGGATACTCCGACTTCCTCTGCTGGTGCAAGGACGTGCAATGCCAAGCTTCTGCGCACTATGAAAATTAAAACATAACCGCGTGGGTAGCACGTGCACTGCGCATAGTTAGGAAAACAGAAGCGCCCATTGCGAACTACTCACCGCGAATATAATCGTTGTCCCCCCCCCCTCCCCCGTTCATAAAAATTAACAAGACGTGATCCAGTGAACGTATGAAGTTCTAATACGTTTTAATAATGCAATTACAATCTAGTTAATATTTTCCCGTATCGAAAGCCAGTTTTTGCAACTCCTCTCCCCAACTGATGGAGTATGATACGGCACACGAAGAAAACATCTGCGGCATCTCTCATGTGAGAGTCGTACAAAAAGTATAGTATAACCGCGTATAAAAAGAAAAATTATAGCTGTATACCACAGAACCCGTACCTTCTGAGCGTTATTTTTTTCCCCTCATTACAGAGATTGGTGTGTGGACTCGTTCAACTTTTATCACGGTCTAATCAAGGCAGAAACTTCGGGGCAACTGGGATTGGCCTTAGTACCGGTATACGAACTCTTCGAAAAGTTCAAAGTACGTATCTACCGTCAAGTAAATTTACAGTACCGGCAAGCAAATATTTCCGTGACAGAAAATAAGAAGAACGTAACGAACTTTCAACGTTGTTCTGAAGTCGAAGGCGGTCCTGAATATTTTTGTTTTGATGAGCATGCCTTACAATATGTTTTTCAGGCCAAACCGTTGTATGCTGAACCGTTTCTGGACTATAGGGACATGACCCCTGAAGAACTCGCGGCGTATCCAGGAGATTACAAGTAACTTATTTACCTCTCATTCATGTGGTAAATGTACGTGTTTACTGCATGTTAGCCTGAATTAGTCATATATGTTTATCCTTCTGTAGATTGTGATGTTGCTAAAAAAATGCTGTCACGTTATAAGGGAAATACAGTTGTTGAACTACATGAATTGACCAAGAAAATGTCATCATGTGTGGAGTGCTTTCTTTTTCTGGGTCAAGCAGTGTTGAACGCCATACGTATACCTCTGTACTTTCCTTCAAATTTTTTTTTAAATCTGATTTTTATCCAGAAACGAAAAGATTACGACTTTTTAAATTTATATTTGTAAAATCAGATACATGTTAATACGCTCCCAAAAATGCGGTCATAAAAAATAGATATTCTTTATATTTGATTCCCTGTTTACAAATCTAGCAAGTTGAAATAAAAGCTGTGAAGTAAGAAATGCTCAATCGTGAGATGAACTCAAACTTGAACATTTTGCTAGTATTTCTTGTTTGTGACCGCTTACTTTACTTTCAACATTTCCAAAACTCTGTGTGGCAGAAAGTAGACAAAAATATATTCATTTTAAGGTGAAACTGATTCGGCAAATGTTTTGCGAACCGTATTTTTGCAGTATTCATTAGATTTCACACGACCATGTCAAATACATCCATTTTACTCGTCGTGGTGATGTAATTAGTTTCTTTTTAACAGACATTAACTAATTCGTCCCTAGCAACCATTGGTAAAACTATAATATTGGTTCCTTGACCAAAAATGGCACTCAAAACTGTCCTTTGTATTTTGCAGGTACGGAGCCTATTTCATCTCAATATCCATTGTGTGTAGAAAGTTTCTACCATATATGATGCAAAGGTAAGGTTGACATAATTATAAAATAAAAAATGGCTGGACACACCAAGAATCTGGTGCTTTCCCAACAAACTAAAAAAATGACCACTTTATAACAAATTTTTTTACCCAAAATTCGGCTTCAGCAGGAAAATGTCCAACATATATGAGACTAAAACACCAAAACGAGGGAAAATGCTTAACGACACGTCAAAGAAGTCTCAAAATCAATATTTAGTGTTTCCCCTCAGTGTCCGTATACAGGGTGTTTTTTCTTAGGTTTTACATGTTTGTTTACAAAACAAAAAGCCATGGAAGGTATACACTAATGCGGTTTTATGCAGGTGCATTGTATGGCCAGGCGGACATATATAGAGGTCACGATAAGTCGGCTAACTAGCCAAAATAGTGTAATTAACTTTTAATTAGAGCAAATGAGCACATAATTTTAATTAAAAACTTACTAGGCGTCATGGGAAATCACAAACTCAGCCAAATTTAGAAAGACGTGGAGCACATGGGAAGCAAGGTACCCCTTATGCAGCAGGAGAAGGCTACAGGTGCGATAACTTGTTCACTTGGTTTTTCGCTCTTTTATGATACGGGTTTTCTCCCCGCCAGCCGCGTGCCTCTTACACAAAGGGTAAATTTAGCGCATTACTGCACTTCCCACCCGCTCGAATTATTTCAAAAAATTACAGATTAAGAGGTTTCCTACGATTCTCCGGAAATTTCTAATTGTCCCATAGGTGTTTAAGTAATTTAAAAGTAGATTACCAGTCTCTAATTAATTATTTAACTTCTCGTGACAATTATCCCCCCATTTTTCGTCCCCCTGACCGTATACCTCAACTGTACAGACCGCATTTGGGTAGCTTTTACGGCATTTTCTTTTCTTATCTGTAAAGCCTGAAGAACGTTAAGTATAGTAACGTCCCTCATTCTCAGTAGTCTTGGGATTTTAGTCAATGATGTTCAACCGTCGTAAGCTCGTTTGTGCACTAACTTTCTGTTCAAGAAGAGGTCAGTGTGAGAAGGCTGTTAGTTTGGGTTTTTCAACTTCCAACAAAATGAATACCAAAACAATAGATATATATCGAAACTACTTGTCCCCATAATCATCGGACAGATTTAGGCAATGATCAGGACGTAGCACGAGTTTTGAATATTCGTCTCATAGAAGGATGCTGCCTGGATTTTCAGTTAACTCATCACGCGTTCAACGAGACCGTCAGTCGCCTTAGATCTTCTTCCCTGGTCCCTATTATCATGGACGTCTGCTTGTCTTCCCCGAAACTCCGTGCAGTTAATCCTATATACATTACATGTCTGTGGCGAGTCGCGACCGGCGGTCTGACTGACGCGTGATGGGACGACTGGAGTGATAACCCAGTGGGCAACCATCTTTGAGGAGAGCATTCAAAACCTTGTGCGAAGTAATTAGTTCCTAAAACTCTGCGGTGATCACGTGGATCGGTATAGCTAAAGCCTGTACCTAACTTGTCAAGTTTCGTGTTATATTAATAAGGCATTGTGCATCACTTTTTTTTACCAAGTTGACTGGTGGTTTAAAAAAATCCCTTGTATATCTAAAGCAATAACTACAGCTGGCAACATATATTGAGTGGTAGTGCTGAAGGAGTTAGGATTCTAAGCTCATTTCGTTTTTCTTTTTTTGGGGCGGAGGAGGGGGGGGGGGGGCGTTCTGACTGTCACGCTTTTACTCGGCAGGTCAATATGCCCGTGACAACACGGTCCTAACACCTGTTAATTGATTACAACTATAGAAATCGCCCAAAATTTTGAAATCAATCAGATATCGACCATATGGTCCGGGGTCGAATAAAGCTACTAAAGATATTATTAATAAAAACAATTTGTGAACTGTTATGCACATATAAATGCAACGAAAATATCTAACACGCACTTTAATTACCAGCAGTTAAACACCAAAACAAAAGACAAAGTGAAATACCAAAAATACCCTTGTTTATATAATGTACCGCTGATAAGTTGAGTAATTGCACATATAGAGAGACTTACTTTTTATATCTTTTTTTTTTCAGATTCACTCGGCGCGGTGGAACTTTTATCCACGAGAAAGTAGAGAGCCTTGATCAAGTAGGCTTACTTAATGTTTTTAATTATGACCTTTCCCGGCAGGCTTTTGGGGATCTCTACATTGTCTTGTGGGGGCGTGGTGTCTTGGATGCCTTATTTCTACATTTAATGTATTAGAACAGCGAACTGAAGTTTTCTTTGCACTTTTAAGTTGCACAATAACCTTTGAGCGGGTCCTCCTCCAAGAACGGTGATCAGAGAAGCACGTTTTGAAACGTCTCTCCGTGTGTTACAGCTGTACTTTGATAGTTTTACATTATTATGACTCGGCGAGTTTGTGCAGACACGGCCAGTGATACACATGGCAAAAAAATTAATTTTCATTAGGATATTTTAGGAGGTGTACAAGCTGTCGCGAATGTACAGACTTGTTGGACCTCATCCGAAAACGTTAGTCATTATACCACGGAAATCACGTGTGCTTGTACAATGACGGGAAATTTCATTTTCATATAGGAAGCTGTCATATAGAAACTAACTTTTAGTTTTATTTATTATTTAGCCGGAGTTTCACGTACAAACGTGGCCTATGGTGCAATGATCACGTGGCAGCTTACCAAACGCAGGAGGCGGCTAGTCTTTAACATTTTATTATCGGTCCGCACAGGCAATAACATTATGGCGTCAGCTGATAAGAATGATGAAGAAGTAACACCGAATCAAAAAGCCCGCTACAAACGTGAAAAATGCGTTAATAATCTTCTTTTCTTTTTTTTTTCTTTCTAAAGTTTGCTGGTCAATACGACGTTGTGATGAACTGTTCGGGAATTGGAGCTAGAACTCTCGTTCCCGATCCCAAATGTGTTCCTGTTCAAGGACAAACAGTGAGGGTAACGTACCGAACCCCTCCTCTTGTATTAAGAACAATCTTTTTTTTTTTTTTTTTAACAGATCAAATGCTACAACTCCGCTTCACGATAACCTGGTGAACTGTGGAGGCTGTGGCTTCCGCGATCCAATAAGAGTGCCTGAGCAAGACACGAGACCGCTCCGCGGTCAATACAAACGCTCCCGTGACTTGGTATCACGTGCCTACGCTACGACGCTCTTATTTTGTCGCTTCCGCCGAAGTTTCCACAGTTCGCAAGGTTATCGTGGAACGGAGTAGAGTGTATGTCCGTGTGGCCGTCTTGAATGCGCCGCTTCAAGCATGGCGTTCTGGAAAGCGTTACACAAGCACGAGGACGCGCAGCTATTACGCCTGAAAATATATTTGGCCAGCTTGCGATCAAATGTGCTTGACCACACGAGTAGGGACATAACGAGAGCCCCAAGTTCTGCTCGGTCAGCACGCAGATAACAGACAACTCCGCGTTTGCCCATTGCGAGTGCGCAGAAACCAGCTTCCGAGCGAGGTGAAGCGTCTGCGTATGCATGGATGGATGTATGAATGGACACGGTTGGATTATTTTTATTGGGTTGCGGCTTGCGCCACCTAGACTAAGCACAGTACTGACAGCAGCGCCACTCCAGCGGCTTGACGTCAGACCCGCGAGTTGGTCTGGAGCGAGGGATTTCGGTGGACGAAGTTTTAATAGTTCTTATTTGAATATTGAGTTGTAGTGTTGGCGTGTGTACTTTTTAATGCGTTTATTGCCCACGGTTCTTAACATGTCGGTGACAGTGATTCACGTTCAAACACTATTTGTCTAAGCAACTGTTTCCAAATAATTGATTTTGGTAAGCTTACCACACTATGACAATGTTTTCTTTTTTTTTTTTTTTTCCTTTGAAATGGAAAAGAATTTTATTCCTGCTCTTGATCCTCATATTTATGCCGAACTTACAATAGGCGGTACAGGTCCTTTTGAAAAATAAAAGTAAACGAAAACTCGCATTGTAAAAGGAAAGGGATTGTGACCGCCTCCAATAATATTTTTATTACTTCAAAAGAAGTCGTGGTTGTGTAACTGACGTAATTTTACAGAGGTTCTCCACGCAAATTTTAACGAGACCTTAAGGTTGTGTTAAGGATTGGGCCGTATATTTTCGGTGTTTTTTTATCAGAAAAATCGGCAAATGGTTTTCGGTATTTATTTATTTTTTTTTAGGATATAT